GAGGCCAGAAGGGGGAGTCGGATCCTTCGAGCCTGGAGTTAGAGGGATTCATAAGCTGCCTGAAATGGGTGCAGGGATCCACATTCAGTCCTATCTAGTCCTGCGATAGGACAGTTAGCACTCGTAACTGCCGAGCCAACTCTCCAACTCTCCGCATTGCTTTTTTTTTTGGTTTTTCGAGACAGGGTTTCTCTGTGGTTTTGGAGCCTGTCCTGGAACTAGCTCTTGTAGACCAGGCTGGTCTCGAACTCACAGAGATCCGCCTGCCTCTGCCTCCCGAGTGCTGGGATTAAAGGCGTGTGCCACCACCGCCCGGCTTCCGCATTGCTTTTAAAAGGATTTTTTTCTGAAAGCTTTTTCAGCATCTAACGAGATGGCCACGTGGTTTTTATTTTTCAGTTTGTTTATATGGTGGATACATTAACAGATTTTCGTATGTTGAACCATTCCTGCTTCTCTGGGATGAAGCCAACTTGGTCATGGTGGATGATGGTTCTGATGTGTTCTTTTATTCAATTTGCCAGTATTTTATTTAGTATTTTTCCATTAATGTTCATGAGTGAGATTGGTCTGTAATTCTCTTTCTTAGTAAGTCTTTCTGTGGTTTGGGTATCAGGGTAATTGTAGCCTCATAAAAAGAGTTTGGCAATGTTCTTTCTGTTTATATTGTGTGGAACAATTTGAGAAGTATTGGCCCCTCAACCAAAGAATGGATAAGGAAAATGTGGTACATTTATACAATGGAGTATTACACAGCAGAAAAAATAACGACATCTTGAAATTTGGAGGCAAATGGATGGAGCTAGAAGACATCATATTGAGTGAGGTAACCCAGACCCAGAAAGACAATTATCACATGTACTCACTCATAAGTGGTTTATAAACATAAAACAAAGAAAACCAGCCTACAAATCACAATCCCAGAGAACCCAGACAACAATGAGGACCCTAAGAGTGACATACATGGATTTAATCTACATGGGAAGTAGAAAAAGATAAGATCTCCTGAGTAAATTGGGAGCATGGGGACCCTGGGAGAGGGTTGAAGGGGAGGGGAGAGGCAGGGAGGGGAGCAGAGAAAAAATGTAGAGTTCAATAAAATCAATAAAGTAAAAATTCTTGGAAGAAAAGGAATTTTGTCACACTGAGACAAGAAACCAATTCATAAGGAAGCAGTTTCACTGGTGTGTGTGTGTGTGTGTGTGTGTGTGTGCTCTAGAGACACTCTAGCACAAGTGACTGGAAGATGAATTCGGCGACATTGGTAGCACTATTGCTGACAGTAGAATAGATAACTTACAGTATGTTCATGTGTGGATTCATGTATTGATGAAAAATAATAAGTATAGTTATTTAAGTCATATGGGTAGCTCTCTAAACAGAATTATATATTTTATGAATCTCTTATTTAGAGTTCAAAATTAGGCAACAACCCTAGATAGTACATTGTTCATTTTTTTGTAAAAGGTCAGCTGTTAATACTAGGTTTTGTGAACCTAAAGGCTACATTGGCGGTGGATACACTTATATAGTAAGACATAAAAATCAATCTCCTTAATATTTTTACTGTTTTTTGTAGTGCAGTATCATGAGCAGTTTTGAGGGCTGCTAGAGTGAGCTAGCTTCCTAGGCTACTATGACAAAGCTCAAAAGCTGGGGTGTTTATCTGTAAAGGGTCATTCTTAGCTCTCACCCTCCCTCTACACACATAGGTAATGATTTGGACTTAGCTTATGGGCCATAATTGCCTGACCCTGGGTTAGATACAGATGTATAGGTACTGTAAATTATTTTAAAAGAAGGAATAATAATATTTAAAGTAGTTTCTGCTTTGTGGGGTGGAAGAAAAAAGCAGGTAGAATTGGAAAATGTTTTACTTACTTTGCATTGCTATGACTAAAATACCTCTCAGAAACAAGGAAGGGAAGGCTTATTTTGACTCATAATTTCAGAGGGTCTCAGTCCATCATGTTGTGTGTATGTGTGTGGGGCCAGGATAGCAGGGAAATGTGGAGGCTCCACATCACAGTGGACCAAGATACAGAGAAAGGGGCATGAAGGGAGGGCCAGATATAACCTTCAAGGGCCTGTCCCTAGTGACCTCGCTCCAGCCTGTCTCCTACAGAAGCACCCCCAACAAAAACAAGACTGTGGAGGATGTTTCTTTTTCTCCCCCCCCCCCCTCTCTCTCTCTCTCTCTCCCTCCTCCTCCCCTCCCTCCCTCCTTTTCATTTTTTGGTTTGTTTCGAGATAAGATTTCTCTGTGTTACAGTTCTGGCTTCCAGGAACTCACTTCGTTGCCCAGGCTGGACTCAAACTCACAGAGATCCACCTGCCTCTGCCTCTGCCTCTGCCTCTGCCTCCTGTGTGCTGGGATTAAAGGCATGCACCATCACTGCCCAGCTGGTGGCTTTGGTTCTACTCTGTTTCTTGGCTTGGATAGTAGGTACGCCATTGTTTGTTTTTCAATTTATTTAACTTTATTTTATGTGCATTAGTACAAAGGTGTTGGACCCCCTGAAGCTGGAGTTACAGACAGTTGTGAGCTACCATGTGAGTGCTGGGAATTGAACCTGGGTCCTCTGGAAGAGCATCCTGATGTGGGAGTGTCATATATCAATCTGTTGATTTCATTGGTTAAGTAATAAACAAACTGCTTGGGCTCATAGCTTAGAACATAGGTGGGTGGAGTAAACAGAACAGAATGCTGGGAGGAAGAGGAAGTGAGGTAAGATGCCTCAGACAGAGACCGACAGCTCTGCTCTCTGGAGCAGAGACGCCATGCTCCTGGCTCCTGGGCAGACACACGCAATGAAGCTCCGACCCAGGATGACGTAGGCTAGAATCTTCCCAGTAAGCGCACCTTGCTGTGCTACATAGAATATTAGAAATGGGCTAGTCCAGGTGCGAGAGTTAGCCTAGAAGAAGCTAGATAGAAATGGGCCAATCAGTGATTAAAAGAATACAGTTTCCGTGTAATTATTTCGAGTAAAGCTAGCCGTGGGGGCGGCCGGGTGCCGGGGACGCAGCCCCGCCACTCCTATTTCTTTTTCTTTTTTTTTTTTTTAATATTTGGTCATTTATTATGTATACAATATTCTGTGTGTATGCCTGCAAGCCAGAAGAGGGCACCAGACCTCATTACAGATGGTTGTGAGCCACCATGTGGTTGCTGGGAATTGAACTCAGGAAGAGTTTTGGAAGAGCACTGATCAGTGCTCTTAACCTCTGAGCCATCTCTCCAGCCCCCCTGCCGCTCCTATTTCAACAGCAGCCAGAGCTCTTAACCCTTAAGCTGTCTTTCCAGCCCCCCCCATTGTTTGTTTCTATTAAAGCTTTATCTGCTCATTTTTAAAGGTTTTTTTGTTTGCTGTATTTTACATTTTTGTCTCTTTCCCACTTCTTCACTTTGGTTTCTTCCAATCAAAGTGATTTATGATGATTTGAATGACTGTTTTCCATAAGCTCAGATTCTGACTACTTGATCCCCATGGGGCTGGTGATGCTATTTGAGTAGGTTTAGGATTTGTGGTTTGTTGAAGGAAGTATGTCACTGGGGTGAGCTTTGAGGCTTCAAGGCCAGGCCACCATTCCCAGTTTGCTCTCTGCTTCCTGCTTGTAGTTGAGATGTGAGCTTCCCAGGTTGGTGTTGAGCTGGCAGGCCTGCCTGCTGTGCTGGATGGTAGGCTCCTCTCCTTCTGGCACCGTAAGCCCTCTTCTGTAAGTTGCTTTAGTCATGGTATTTTATCACAGCAATAGAAAAGCAACTAATATATGATTATTCCTTATTTCAAACTGCCACTGCCTGCACCTAGGATGCCCTACTCCGGTGTAATTCTCCCGATTGGCAGGCACTGCTTGTCTCTCTGTTAACAAATCGCCTGTCTCATTATCACTTTTTCTTGTAGTCACCCTAACAGCAGAGTAAGTAGAAAATTCAGTGCGAAGGTAGGAGGTGTAGAGAAGTGGGAGCTAGGGATGTCAGGGTGTTTGAATCAGGGCTTTTTCCAGTCAGCCTGTTCTTGCTCCTTCTAAGTTTGCTTAACAGCTTTACTGAGATGTAATTCTTACATCAATCAGTCAGTAGTTCTGTATCTCCGGAGGAAAAAAGTCACCACAATCAATTTAAAACCTCTACCATCCCAGAAAGAAGTTCCTAGCCCTCAGCTGTTGGCTCCCAAACCCTCTCCCTCCCTCTCCAGGTAGCTGCTGGGCTTGGGTCTCTACAGGTTGATTTCTCTGTCCATGTCATATAATATGGTCAGTGTGAGTAGATGGTTTGTCCATGCTGTGGCACAGCTTGGTAATTCATTGCATTTTGTTGCTGAACACTATTCCATTGTGGGGTAAACCACTTATATTCATCCTTCATTACTTAATCCATATTTGGTTTTTCCACTCTCGCTACTATTTGTAGACAACTTTTTAAAGATCATGTGTTGTTGTAGTAAATTTGACAAGTACTATATGAATGTGAAGGATAAAACTTTATGTTTGAATCTGTCACTCACAAATAAGCCTTGTTGATGTGCATAGTGCTCCCTGCCTGTATCCCAGCACTTGGAAGGTAGAAGCAGGACTAGGGGCCCAAGGCCAGACTGTGCTGCATGAGACTCTGTCTCCAAACAACAGCAAAACAAAATCTAGACTGGTGGATGAGTCCGTGGGCAAAGGGGCTGCCGGGTAAGCCTGAGGACCTTGATTGAAATCTCCAGCTCCCCTGTACAAGAGCTGGGTATGGTACACTAACCTGTTACCTCATACTCTGTAATTCTTTTAAGATTTACTTTGTATTTGAGCAGATTGTGTTTGTCAGGTCTCAGTTAAGACTGGCCAACTGCAATTGTCATAAATAATTTATCAGTTGTGTCCAGTGGAAATATAGAAGGGTTCTAATTTGTCAGGTGGGTTGGGGGTAATCAGGAAATCACAAAAATGTGTGTAAGTTGGTATAGATAAAGCAGTGAAGTTTCTAATAAAGTCACCTTTGCTCTGTTTAGGAAACTAGCGGGATGCACGATTTTTATCACGGGTGCAAGCCGAGGCATTGGCAAAGCTATTGCGTTGAAAGCAGCGAAGGATGGAGCAAATATTGTAATTGCTGCGAAAACCACCCAGACACACCCGAAACTCCCAGGCACAATCTACACTGCTGCTGAAGAAAGTGAGTGTGATGACTGCCATTGCATGGACTGCTCTTACCGTGGTCTCAGTACATAGTTTGCTGTAGGGTTTAGTGTACGCTGTTTGAAAGTTACTCAAGAAATAATTGTGTTTAGGGCTGGTGAGATGCTCAGCAGGTAAAGAAAGGTGCTTGCTGCCAAGCCCGACAACCTGAGCTAGATCCCCACACCCACACTGTGGAGACAACTGGCTTTCTGCAAGTTATAGCATGTGCACGTGCAATAAAATAAAGTAAATAAACCGTGGTGCACATTTTAATCCCAGCACTTGGGAGGCAGAGGCAAGCAGATCTCTGTGAGCTCCTGGCCTGCCCAGGTGGGGGTGCTGAGTTGGTCTCAGCTACTTTCCTTCCAACCCTGAGTGGGCACACAAACAACGGGGCCCACAAATGTCATTCAAATGCTCCATAGCTGGAGTTTGCATTGGCAGCACAGCCCAAGAAGCTGCCTTATTAAAAAGGTGTGGCTTTTTTTCTGCTACCAGTGCATCAGGAAAACCTCCCTTAAGGGAGCGGCAACACGCCGCCAGCTGAAAAAAAGTGAGGCTAAACTTTGTTTTTCTGTGTCTAGAATTTTTTTTCAAGCTTTTTTGAGTTTTACATAGATTTAGTCCACCACATTGCCGTGCCAAACTGTTGCGAGGAAGCTGCTTGTTGGTTTCCGGCTGTCCGGCTAGCTTAGACCCAAAACAATCCCACAGAAATTGTATTAATTAAATCACTGCTTGGCCCATTAGCTCTAGTTTCTTATTGGCTAACTCTTTTGGTGTAGGAGGTCCTTCTGTTTATTGGTTTATTGTTATTGATTATTGGCTAATCAATAAAGAAACTGCTTGGCCTGATAGGGCAGAACTTAGGTAGGTAGAGAAGACAGAACTGAATTCTGGGAGGAGGAAAGCAGAGAGAGAGAGAACCGCCATGGAGATGCCAGAGTCAGACATGCTGAATCTTTCCTGGTAAGCCAACAACCTCATGGTGACATACAGATTGTTAGAAATGGGTTGAATCAAGATGTGAGAGTTAGCCAATAAGAGGCTAGGGATAATGGGCCAGGCAGTAATTTAATTAATACAGTTTCTATGTGGTTATTTTGGGTATAAACTGGCCAGGTGGCCGGGATGAAAAGCAGGCCCTTTCTTCCTACTACACTCTTATATTAATTTGACCCATTTCTATTAATCTTTATATTGCCATGTGGCTGTGGCTTACCAGGTAAAGTTCACAACATCTATCCCCAGCAGCTCCATGGCTTCTCTCTGTCTCTGCCTTCCTCCTCCCATGCTATAGGCCAATCCAGTTTCCTTATTCATTAACCAATAAAAGCGACACATAGACAGAAGGACCTCCCACAACAGGGTGAACATTTTATTTTTAGATGTGTTTATTTTATTGCATTAGTGTTTTTACCTGCATGTATGTGTGTGCTGTGTTGATGCTTGGAGTCTGCAGTGCCCCAGTTGGTTGGGTTAGTCCATCTGTCTATTGTGATTGTAAGACCTTGTAATGTATCTCGATTGTGCTGGAAATGGGCATTTTTTTCTATTGTTGCATCAGAATGAAGGTGTAATTATAAACACCTTCATGCAGCTGGGCAGTAGTGGCACATGCTTTTAATTCCAGTACTTGGGAGGCAGAGGCAGGTGGATCTCTGTGAGTTCGAGGCCAGCCTGGTCTACAAGAGCTAGTTCCAGGACAGGCTCCAAAACTACAGAGAAACCCTGACTTGAAAAACCAACAATAAAATAAAATAAACACCCTCATGTTTTTTTGTCTTCTTTGTAGTTGAAGCGGCTGGAGGAAAGGCCTTGCCGTGTGTTGTTGATGTGAGAGATGAACAGCAAATCAACAGTGCGGTGGAAAAAGCTGTCAAGAGATTTGGAGGTAGTACCTTGATTCTGAAATAATTCCTGAACATTGATGAAATAGACATGTAACCACCGCCTTTCTCAGAAAGGTCATACATAGGTCAGGGAGGACTAGAGAGGGTTTGACCCAGTGTTCCTGGAGCCAGCGAGAGAAGACTGATACTTAAGGGTTGAGGCTACAGCTTGTAAACACTAAACCTTCTTGCAGTTTTTCATAGAGCTGGTCATTGGCTGAATCTCCAGTGTGCCAGCAAAAATAAGTTTTGAAAGATTTGCCGGATCTGGCATTGGTATATTGGTCAGTCATATAGTCTAATTATGTATGTGTGTGTTTTATAGACCTATGTATATGTATATATGTTTATATTTTTGAATCAGCTGAGGGATAAACCATAGAGGAAATGTTTTGTGTGTATGAGAGAGAGAGAGAGAGAGAGAGAGAGAGAGAGAGAGAGAGAGAAATGCTGACTTGCATCAATATGGAACTGATTTCTTTGGACACAGGAATTGATATTTTGGTGAACAATGCGAGTGCTATCAGCTTGACCAACACGTTGGATACTCCTACAAAGAGAGTGGACTTGATGATGAATGTGAACACCAGGGGAACCTACCTCACGTGAGTCAGAAACAAGGATGTGGGGCAGGATGTCCTATTGTGTTCTCAGAGAACTTACATATAAACAGATGGGACCAGACAGCAGTACAGCTTAAAATCTAGTTGGCTTATGATTAAGCTAACGATATTAGTATCTGTCTTAGGGTTACTATTGCTGTGATGGCCAAAAACAAGTTGGCGAGCAAAGAGTTGAATTGGCGTACACTTCTACATTGAAGTCCATCACTGAAGGAAGTCAGGGCTAGAACTCTAACAGGGCAGGAATCTGGAGGCAGGAAGTGATACAAAGGGTATGAAGGGGTGCTGCTTACTGGCTTTCTCACTCTGGCTTGCTCAGTCTGTTTTCTTATAAAACCAAGACCACTCACAATAGGCCAGGCCCTCCCATATTGATCACTAATTAGTTACAGCCTGATCTTATTGGGGCATTTTCTTAATCCAGGTTTCCTCCTCTCAGGTAACCTTAGCTTGTGTTAGGTTGGCAAGAAGCCGTCCAGCACTGTGTCTAAGTGCTGAGAGTTTTCAATTTGATATATAAGACAGAGCTTGTTGTTATGAAAAGTGTGATGTGGATTTGTAACGTTAGTGGCCCTACTGACTAGCAAATTGCAGCTGGCAAGGTTTTATCTAATAGATAACAGGAAAGCCAGTGCGTTTGATGTAAACAAGACGAATCCCTCCTCTGATTGCAAAGTATGGTCTTATTAGAATGGACTCAGTTTTTCCCTATTGATTGGTTGAGGTACAATTTTAGTTTTAATGAAAATCAGTTATAATATTGTTTGCCTGTCCTCATTTCAACTCTATGAAAGTGAAACACTGGGCTGGAGAGATGGCTCAGGGGTTAAGAGCACTGGTTGCTCTTCCAGAGGTCCTGAGTTCAATTCCCAGCAACCACATGGTGGCTCACAGCCATCTTTTTTTTTTTTTTTTTTGGTTTTTGTTTTTCGAGACAGGGTTTCTCTGTGGTTTTGGAGCCTGTCTTGGAACTAGCTCTTGTAGACCAGGCTGGTCTCGAACTCACAGAGATCCGCCTGCCTCTGCCTCCCGAGTGCTGGGATTAAAGGTGTGCGCCACCACCGCCCGGCCATCTGTAATGAGTTCTGGTGTCCTCTTCTGGCCTGCAGGCATACATGCAGGCAGAGCACTGTATACATAATAAATAAATAAATAAATGAAAAAATATTTTAAAAATGAAATACTTTTAGGAATGAAAAACAGTTTTTTTTGGTTAGGGTTAAGGTTAGGGTTACTATCAAAATCACTACAAATATAATCAATACCTCTAATCTGTAGTAGCATTGATTGTATTTGGTGTCTAAACTGCAGTGACTGAGCAATGGTGGTGCACGCCTTTAATTCCAGCACTTGGCAGACAGAATGACTTCCAAAACAGCGAGGGCTACACAAGAGAAATGCTGTCTCAGAAAGCTAAAAGGAGAAAAATGTGGTAATTGGTAACAATTTTGTGTTTGGAAATAATAATAGTTAAAAAAACTGATGTAAATGAAGGGCGGTTTAGCTCACAATCTGCTCTCACCCCCTTTTTTATTTCAGTGTTGGGGCTTGACCTGTATGCTTTATATATCATAGACATATGCTCTACAGCTGAACTGTGGCTCCAACTTCAATAATTCCTCTTGTTGTACTTTTCAGACCGGGTCTCCTATGCAGCTCAGGTTGACCTGGAACTTGCAATCCTGCCTCAGCTTCTTGAATGCTGAGATTATAGTCATGTACTGCCATGTTTGATGTCCTTAGATGTTCTTGAATATGAAATAAGGTTATAACTGAGCTACAGTATGTTGTTTAGCTATATGATGTTATAACTTTAATACTTAAAATTATAAAAATATTGAATATAAATCTTTTTTTAAAAAGACTTACTTACTTACTTACTTACTTATTTATTTATTATGTGTAGTGTTCTATCTGTCTGTATGCTTACTACCAGAAGAGGGCACCAGATCTCATTACAGATGGTTGTGAGCCACCATGTGGTTTCTGGGAATTGAACTCAGGACCTCTGGAAGAGCAGTCAGTGCTCTTAACCTCTGAGCCATCTCTCCAGCCCAAATATAAATCTTTTAGAAAATAAATAATGTATTTCAACAAACAGTTGAAAATAAAATGAACCCTTATAGGGGCGCATACCTATAATCTCAACACCCAGGAGGCAGATGCAGTGGAATTGTTTTGTGTTCAAGGCTCTACTGGGCTGCATAATGAATTCTAGGTCAGCTTAACCTATGTAAGACTTAAGACTCTGCCTAAAGAAGATAAAACAGTAATCAGAACCAAACCTCTAAACTCCATATTGCTTTCAAAGGCATATTGCATTTTGTACCTGTGAAATAAACTAAGATATGTGATGCCACTCATAGCAATTTTTTATTTCATGTTGAGCACATGCACTGTCTGAAGTATCTCATTTGAATCCTTTAATCAGTCCTAGATGGTAGTGGGTATTACCACTGTGTAGTAACGTTCTAAGAACTAGAATGCAGATTTACCCAGTGACATACAAAGGGGGAAGAATCAGGATTTGAACCTATGACTATCTGACAGGTATATTAACTGCGTCTGTAAATTGTGTGTTTGGGTGGGAGAATTTGGGAGAAGTTGTGGTTGAAGATATCCTCAGTTGAGCATAAAGCTAATAGAGAAAGGATATGATTTTTTTTCCATCAAGCAGATCATGTGGTCAGGGTATGAAACATTGGTTTCAAAGCATGAAAACCAGTTCCATTTATTATCTTCTTTCTAGGAAAAAAGTACTCTACCAACAAGATGCACTAGACAGATCACTGAGCGAATTCAGCTGCTCTGTGAAGTACTTTTAAACGTAAGCTATTAACTTGTGTTTTCTTTCATTTTCAGATCCAAAGCGTGTATTCCTTTTTTAAGAAAGAGCAAAGTAGCTCATATTCTCAATCTCAGCCCACCCCTGAACCTAAATCCTCTGTGGTTCAAACAGCACTGTGGTAAGTGTTAGCTGAGGGGATAGTTTGTTTGGCTAATTTGTTTGGAATTAATCAGTGTATTAATCGTAAGCATAGTCTGGACATGATGCTTAATATTGAATGTCAGTGATCAAGATAGTAAATTCTTTCTTTCTTTCTTTCTTTCTTTCTTTCTTTCTTTCTTTCTTTCTGTTTCGCCAGATAGGGTTTCTCTGTGTTGCACCTCCCTTAAAGTAATATCATATATTTAGTTCTTATTCTTATATTTTATTCTTTTTTTTTAAAGGTATTTGTTTTTTTTTTTTTAATATTTATTTATTTATTATGTATACAATATTCTGTCTGTGTGTATCCCTGCAGGCCAGAAGAGGGCACCAGATCTCATTACAGATGGTTGTGAGCCACCATGTGGTTGCTGGGAATTGAACTCAGGACCTTTGGAAGAGCAGGCAATGCTCTTAACCTCTGAGCCATCTCTCCAGCCCCTTATATTTTATTCTTATTTAGGAAGGCTCTGGGGTAGGAACCCGCAGAGCAAGACTAAAGTTATACACTGGTTGATGAAGTTAAGTGACTCGGAAGCCTTTATTTTTTAAATGATGTGAGTGTGTGTCTCTGTGTGAGTATGTGAATGTGAGTGCTGGTGCCCTTAGTGGCCAGGAAGACATCAGGTCCCCTGGAGCTGGAGTTACAGGCACTTGTGAGCTGCCTGACATGGTGCTCACATGAGGACTCAGGTCCTCCGCAAGAACAGTATGCACTTAGCTGCTGAACCATCTCTGCAGACCCTGATTGCTTTTCATTTTATGGTGCTGGAGTTGAAATCCAGGCTTCACAAATGCTAAGCACATATTCTACTGCTAAGCTACACCATCATACCTGTGTTGTTGAGTTGTGAGTGAAACTTTCTCTGTAAATAATCACCTTCATTCTTGGTTTGTTTGCTTTGTTTTTGAGATAGGATCTTAGTATGTAGCTCTGGCTGTCCGGGAACTTGCTCTGTAGATCAGGCACTCACATTAGGCAGCCTACAACTGCCTGTGATGCCAGCCCAGGGGCATCTGACAACTCCGGTCTCAGGCTCTCACTGGCACACACGCACACACAGATGTATGCATAATCAACAACAACAAAGTCTTTCAAAACAAACGAACAACCCCAGCATATTTGGTTAATGTGTAAACTATACTCCCAGTACTTGGGATGCTGAGGCAGGAGAATCAGGAGTTTAGAGTCATTCTTGTCTACATAAAGAATTATCTTATGTATTTTGTAATTTGAAAAGAATTGTCAAAAATTTTCCCAGGGAGAAAATAGCAGCAGAAAGTTGGGTGTTTCCACTCAAAGATTAGTTTCTCAATTATTATTCTTTGTGGTTTCTTTCAGCTTATACCATTGCCAAATATGGCATGTCTATGTGTGTGCTTGGGATGGCAGAAGAATTTAGAGGTGAAATTGCAGTCAATGCCTTATGGCCTAAAACAGGTTTGTACTTAAAAGAAATCCCTTAATTTGATTTTTACCTCTCCTCCACACCAGGCTCAAACCCATTGTCTCACTTTAGTGAACACTCTACCAGTGAGCAAGTTCCTCAGCTCTGTCCTTGACATTTTGTGAAACATCTCAGGTCACCTGAATCTTGATGTTCGCTGTGCAGCTGACAGTCTTTAACTTGGACTAAGTGGCTGACTCTTTAGCCAGCAACTGTGATGGGAGCATAACGCTAGAACATACAGAATGTATCATGGAAGCCAACAGGAATGGTTTCAGCAAATTCTCTTAGATTTTTCCAGATTGAAAGACTAATTGAAAAAGTGGTAGTTGCAGTTAGGCATACATACCTAGCGATTGTCCAGATATACCTGAGATGGTGGCAGAAGACTCCCTTGAGCATGGGACTTCACAGTATGCCAGAAGGTAATAATGTTTGTAAAAAATACAGTAAAATTAGCAGTCTTTGGCACTGAAGAGAGAAGGTTTTAACTTATTTATTCATTTATTTTGCTTTTTTGGGACAGAGTCTCTCTTTCATATAGCTTTGGCTTTCCTACAATTCACTATGTAGACCAGGCTGGCCTTCAAATCACAGAGATCTATCCGCCTCTGCCTATAAGTGCTGGGAGGCACCCAGCCAGGTTTTACCTCCTAATACCTCAAAAAGTTTCACTTTTTTGAGAATGTGGATTTTGAGCAAAGATTCGGAAGTGATTGAAGTAAGCCTTGTGGCTGAGAGAAAAGTGTTTAAGGATGCAGCCAATGCAAAAATCCTGTGGATGGAAATGCCTGTTATCAGGATCCAGGAACAGTGAGAAGACCTTAAAAACTCACTGAAACCTACAATGACTACAGTAAGATTAATTGTTGCAGGATATTTGTACACTGTGTGAAGATGTATTACTGAGACTGGTGTAATAAAAAGTTGAATGGCCAATAGCTAGGCAAGAGTTTTAGGTGGGATTTCTGGGCAGAGCGAGAACTCTGGGAAGAAGACAGAACTACCCACCAGATATGGGGGAAGCAGGATGGATAATGTGGAGATGAGGTAACAAGTCATGTGACAGAATGTAGATTTAAAAATCTGTATTTTATGATATGAATGCTTTGCCTGCATGTACATCGGCACACCAGATGAGGGCGTTGAATCCCAGGAGACTACAGTTCTAGATGGTTGTCGGCTGCCATGTAAATGGTGGGAATTGAACTCAGGACCTTAGGAAGAGCAGCCTGTACAGTTTACCACTGAGCCCTCTCTCTAGCCTCAGATTTCAGTGAGTGTTGATAAGTAGTAAGTGGATGAGAGAGTGTGCAGTATGCCTGCCTTCTGCTAGCTCTAAACTGGTCCTTCTGAACAAAGCTTGTGTAATAGGTAGACATTGCATAACAGGAAGGATGGAGGGTATTATCAGGACTAAAAGGATTTGCTGATGTCTTTGCTAGCTCTGAGGTATTTGTTTTAGGTGGTTTACTAGACACTTTGGAGCCACTGGTATCATTAGGCCCTTGACACCACTGAACTTACAGTTGTGTTCTTTATGACGACTGATACAGTAGTCACATAGAGAGCACTTTGGAAACACAGAAGGAGGCCTTGCAGCCCATGTTAAAGAGCCAAAGAGTTTCAGATGGAGGTATAAATTGAAGTATGGTCTCCAGGGGATGTTGGGGTCAGCAGGAAGGAAACTAGGCAAGATATTCTTGGACAGTAGAAACAACAGACAGTCACGTGCAGCATGGGAAACCTGTGTGCATAGTGGACTGCCGGAGATTGAGGAGGTGTTTAATGGGTGTGGGCTGTCATTTCCCACAGTATTCGAGCATCTGCAGTGCACCAGGTTCACTGGAATGCTGGGTAGAGCGGGTGGGAATGGGTGAACTAGACTTTGGTCTATCATGTCAACTTAAGCCACCTGATTTTTTTTCCTTACTTCTTGGCACAGAGGATTAAACACAGGCCTCACACATCCTAGGCAAGTACTATTAGAGTTCCTTCCCTAGCCTGGCAGCTTCAGTTTCAAGTGATTCAGTAGAGAGCTATTGGAAAGATTTTAAAAGGAGAGTGGTAATAAGCGGGGGGTGGGGGAGTGGGAGGGGGTAGGAGCAGTAAAGTCATCTGGTGTTTATGTAGACGTTTAGGCTGACATGGTGGGTGAATTACAGAGAGGAGCCTGACGGTTAGCTAGACTACTGCATTGTTCATGAGTGAAGGCAAATGAAAGTGATTCAAGAGAGTAGCTGTGCTCCAGGCTGGAGGTGAGGTGTCTGTGTTTAAGAACACATTCCCTCTTGTGTAGAGTCATCAGGAATCTCCCCTGACTGCCTTTCAAGGAGACGGGGATTCATCCTACTTAGTGGGATGGACTCCAGGAAACATATTATTATAACAGCGGTGTCCCAGCTGTCTGCTGGCCTTGGCTGGGCTCAGCATTGCTTCTCCACACTGGCAGCTGTGCCCTCTTGGCTATAGACTTTGCCTCTGATGAATTTAGCATGTACAGAGAAGGGATGGGGCCAGACGAGGATCTCGGGTTCTCAGCTAGGTTGTTTTCAATTGTGATTTTTTTCTTTTTACAAGATCTTTTCAGTTTCTGCTGAGTAGAGGGAGTGGCTGCCTCTTAACTTTTGGCAGGTCTGGGTCTGAGTGGTGGAAACAGGACAGTCCACTTTGGAGCAGATTTTATGCAGGCGGGGTTGGCCTTGTAGCTGCTGATTTGGTTATGGCAACAGAGAGGAGAGTCATCTCCAGCCTTATTATTCCTGGTGGTACAGTAACAAATAAGAAATATGTGTTTTCCAATGCAAGGAGCAGAGACGAAAACATTGGGAAGAGAGCTTCATATTTTAGAGAAAGGAAGTTCAGATCCAAAGGGTCATAGTAGCTTGCCAAAAATCTTGGCCCAGCTGGGCGGTGGTGGCATATGCCTTTAATCCCAGCACTCGGGAGGCAGAGGCAGGCGGATCTCTGTGAGTTCGAGACCAGCCTGGTCTACAAGAGCTAGTTCCAGGACAGGCTCCAAAGCCACAGAGAAACCCTGTCTCGAAAAAAACCAAAAAAAAAAAAAAAAAAAAAAAAATCTTGGCCAGTCGGTATAAAAACCCCACTCGCCCAACTTCCAGCTCAGTGTTGTTTTTGTTAGTCTTCTCCCAAGACTGCTGTGCAAATTCTTGAGCATTCTAAATGAGAACTCTAAGGAGGTTTGCTGTGCTTCTCATGAAGGATTTCTGCAGGTGCAGTCTGCATTGAGTAACGGATGTATCTGCTTGTTTGTCTCCTTGGTTCTGTGTTGAGGAAGGGATATGTTTGTTTCTTTGTCTTCCTGGTTCTCTCTATAGAATGTTAACAAATTCCTTATCATGGCCTTATTTTTCATCATCCGAGAAAGAAATTTGCCTTGGCAATTTTGAGTAGAGTACCGTCTTGTTATTCCATAGTCTTCTTTGACATGGAGTGATGTGCGTCCATGTTTTCTCCACAGCCATACATACCGCTGCTATGGATATGCTTGGAGGGTCTGGTGTGGAAAGCCAGTGTAGAAAAGTTGACATCATTGCGGATGCTGCGTACTCCATTTTCAAAAGGCCAAAAAGTTTTACTGGCAACTTTATTCTTGATGAAAATATCTTAAAAGAAGAAGGAATAAACGATTTTGATGTCTATGCAATTAAACCAGGTACTGCTTATGGCTGTTTAAAGTAATAATGTCTTCCCACATTTTATGCAATCAACAGACATGTTTCGTGTGTGTTTGTGTGGTTATAAAATGAGTATATTATGTTAGAAGCTATCTTCCACTGAAGGGAAACCTCCCTACCCCCTCCACCCTAGAAGTGAGGCGAGAGCTCTTGGAGTTGCAGGAGGATGCAGAAGCTTGTTTCAGTTATCCGCTTCCAAATTAGGAAATTGAACATTTTGAAGTTAGTCTTAGAAATCCGAGTAAAGATTCAGACATGTCTGACACATGACTCAGGAGTAGAGTTCTTTATTCTTCTTTTTCTCAAACAAACAAACAAAAATCCACCCCTTTAAAAATGTTTGCTGTTAAGCACAGCCTCATAGACCATGCGGATGGAGGAGCAAATCTGCCTTACAGAGTTGTCTGACTGGAGATTTCCAGAACCTCCCACTCTTTAAAATCTCCTCCTTTGAAATTACAGATGACTATGATAATGAATATGGTGGTACATGCCTTTAATTCCAGCATTTGGGAAATAGTGAATTCAAGGCTAGCCTGGCCTACATAGTGAGACTGTGTCTCAAAAACGAGAAAAACAAAAGAAAACAAAAAGACCTTCAGGCATTTGAGAAAATGGTCGAGTATGTCAATTTCTTTCTGTGGAAACATGAGGACTTGAATTTGGATCAAGTCAAAAATTAGGGGACTGTAGCCATGTAGTAAAAGGCTGATGAGTGTGTTTTGTACCTTCTGATCTCAGAGCTGGGAGACAGGAGACAGATTTGTTGGGCCATTGGTCTAACTGAATCAGTGAGCTCCAGATTCAATGAGAGGCTGTAAAAAATAAGGTGGAAAGTGACTGAGGAGGACCTCTACACACATATATGCACGCACGCATGCACGCGTGTGCATGCGTACACACACACATACACATGCACAGAGAGAGAGAGAGAGAGAGAGAGAGACATGGGTATGCAGAACCACACATACGTGTAGACACGCACACTTTTATATCCCTGCATACAAATACATACCTGGCATTAGTCACATATAATTCCAGTGGGTGGGAGATAGAGGCAGGAGGATTGCTGCAAGTTTCCTGGTTCTAGGTTAGCCAGAGCTAGTAAGACTTTGTCAGAAAATAAAATGAAACAAAAAATTAGATCTTAGCCAGGCAGTGGTGGCACACGCTTTTAATCCTAGCACTTGGGAGGTAGAGGAAGAGGGATCTCTCTGAGTTTAAGGCCAGTCTGATTTACAGAACTAGTCTTAGGACAACCAAGGCTACACAAAGAAACCCTGTCATGAAAAACAAAGCAAAAAAATAAATAAAATTAGATTTTAAGATGAAGTTTGTCATAGTAGAAGAGGATAACTAAGTTACAGAAAAGAATAATAAATTAGATCAAATAGTTCAAGTTACCTGTGGGCCCTTTCCAGTGACACAAAAGGATTTTTTAAAAAGGATATACATTTTATTAAAATTGTTAAATTTGTATGTAATATAGTATAATTATTATACTATGTTATAATATAATTATAATATGTTATAATTATTATAACATTATTTGGTGGTTAATTTTTCAGGCCATCCCTTGTTACCAGATTTCTTCTTAGATGAACATCCTGATGAAATTATGAAGGAAACAGAATCCCATGGTAAGATTCTAGGGCACGCTTTATTTTATTATTTTTTCTTTTTATGTGTATGAGGATTTTGCCTGCCTGTATGTCTGTATACCACATGCATGCTTGGTGCTGCAGAGGCCAGAACAGGGTGTTGGATCTCCAAGTGGACTGGAGTTAGAGATGGTTGTGAGCTGCCATGTGGATGCTGGAAATTGAACCTCTGGAAAAGTAGCCAATGTTCTTAACTGCTGAGCCATCTCTCTAGCACCAAGATTCTAGAATGTATATATGTATATATATATATATATATGTGTGTGTGTGTGTGTGTGTGTGTTGTGTGTGTGTGTGTGTATGTATATGTATACACATACATATATTGAAACAGTCTCACTATATAACCTCGGGTGGCCTTGAACTCATAGAGATTCACCTGTCTCTGCCTCCCAAGTGCTGGGATTAAAGGCATGTACTGCCATGTCTGTGCAAACCATATTTTAAATAGGAAAATATGAACACTAACTGTTTCTTGTAATACATGGAATTGATGCTTTAACAATATTTTTGCCTTCTATCTCTAAACCAGAGGTTCTCAACTGTCCTAATGCTGTGACTCTTTAATACAGTTCCTCATGTTGTGATTGACCCCAACCCTAAAATTATTTTCTTTGCTACTTCATAACTGTAATTTTGATTCTGCTATGAATCGTAATGTAAATATCTGATTTGCAAGATATCTGATAGAGGACACCTGTGGAAGGGTTGTTTGACCCCCCCAGAGGGATTGCAACCCACAGTTGGGAATCACTGCTCTTAACTATTTTGTAACTTAAACACATTATGTAAAATTCTGTAAGGCTAGAAAGAAAGATTTTTGTTTTGTTTTTGTAACTGTCCCCAAGTTTTTTTTTTCTTGACAGCTGTCTTTGAATAGTTTATGTTGATATTTGGAGGAAAATGTGTCGTATTAGAGTATATCTAACATAATTTTTATAGTGTGCTATTGATATTTTATGAAGAGAATTAATTTATTTTTTTTTCTTGATTTTTTTTGGGGGGGGGGTGTTGAGGTATGGTTTTTCTGTGTAGCCTTGGCTGTCCTGGAACTTGTAGACCAGGCTGGTCTCAAACTCACAGAGATCTACTTGCCTCCATCTCCTGAGTGCTGGGATTAAAGGTGAGTGCCACCACTACCCAGCTAGGGAGTTCATTTCAGAGGAGGTTTTGGGCTTCCCTCATTTTGTTTTTGTAACTCAGGGACAGTGGGCCTTGAATTATGGGCCTGTGTGTGTGTGTGTGTGTGTGTGTGTATGTTACATTTTAAGCCTTGTGATCTATCTAGCATACTTATACCCATGCTTTAGTGAAACACACCACAAGAAACATAACAAAAGTTTCTAGGAACAAATTTTCTCTGTGCCTTTAAGCTATCTGTAGGACCTTGATGCATTTACTGCCAAGCTTTATTTCCAGGTTAGTCACATCTTCTCTGTGTTTATGCTTTGTCTAAATTTTTGAAGAAGCTAAAAATTAGGTAATAAAAGGATAATTTTTCTTTTGTACAATTAAAAAAAAGCTATAGAAAGGAAAATAGTGACTCATAGCCCTACAGTCCAGAGACTTTGGATTTAAAAGTTAGATCCCAGGTTTACCAGGAGGAAAAACCCAGGAAACAAGATATCAATCTCTTTCTCAGAAGGTTTCTTACAGAATAGCAGAAGTCACCCAGAACTCTTAGAAAATCTTGTTCTTGACCCAACACCCTAAGATTGGCTGTCTTCGGGTGGGAGACATATGAACCAAGTTTAAAGTTCTTGTTTTCAAATAAGAATCATCTCATTGGTCATCTTACATTCCTTAGTGCCTCCTGTGTGCTGAGTGCTTTGGCAGCATTGTTTAATACTGAGGACCTGCAGAGCTGTGCTCACACAGCTTCAGGTGGCAGAACCAGGGTTTAGATTCACGTTTTTCTAATTCCAAAGCCTGTGTCTTTAACCAGTGTTCACAACTGGTGTTCCTAAAGCCTGAATCCTTAAAAGTCCTTTAAAGTGTTAGAAGTTGCCCAGTAGTGCCATATATTAATATATAACGAGGAGTTGCCATGGAGACTAACTATGTAGTTGCTGTGTTCAGCAGCTCTCTCCCTTTGGAACAGTATCAGCCAGACGGTGGTGTGTGATGTGGAGTCAGGACAAGAGGGGTTAGAAGAGTGGAATGTGAGACCCTGACCCTCAGCTTCGGCGGGTAGATTTGTCATTAGCTATTTCCATTACCAAAGTGTTCTTGTCCAGAGGCCGGGACACTCCTGTCTTTTGGCAGCCTCTTCTCCACACAGTGCTCGAGACAGCAGTGAGTTCTGTAGCTCTCTCTGCCTGTCCTTTCTGGGGTCACCACCAGCAGGTACAGTGGACATCTGTAGGCATCGTGGTGCACTTACACAGGCAGTGGTTAGCACATCTGGCCTGCGGTGGGGCTTGCCTCTGCCAGATGTTTTTTCATGTGCATATCCAGATCTAGTGCATGTTTGTTGTGTATTTTGACTCAAAAAAGCTCTGTGTGTAGCCCTTATTTTCCTGGTTAGAGATTCACATTTCTTTTGAATCCACTACTGATAATTTGTTCTGTGAATATTAATTAATATATCTGTATATGTACATAGATACAATATAAATTAACACACATACATTATATGTGTATTATATATATTCATATCACACACATATATACATTTATCTGATACAAAATATATGTTATATATAGAGGGAGAGGAGCGAGAGTATAAACATTGCACTTGGTTTTAAATTAATGGAGTTTTACTTTTTCCAGCACTTGTTGTTCCTTATCTTAGCTCCCTGCTGGAACGCGGAGCCTACTTGGTCTTTTCTAGTTTATTTCTCTATTGTTACTTAGTTATAGTTTTGGTTGCTTGTGTTCATTTGCTCTGAGTTCTCAGAAGTGTGCATTCCTGGCTTGGCTACCCTCTCCCTGTCCCCTATAGTTAGCGGCACCCTTTGTTAGTCTCTCTTCTTGCATTTTTAATTCTGTATTTGGAAAAACCCTGTCAAGTTTATCTTCAGTATTATAGAGAATAATCTGCCAAGAATCTCTACAGTTTTTTTTTTTTAACAGGATTTGTCTGTGTTACCCTAGCTGTTCTATTCTAGAACTTGTTCTATAGACCAGGCTGGCCCCTAACTCAGAGATATCTGCCTGCATCTGTCTCCCAAGTGCTGGGATTACAGATGTGCGCCACCACTGCCTGACTGGAGTTTATCTCTGTTCAGTTGTCTGCACGGAGAGCAGTCTCTGTTGCACTGTTTCTCAAGTTACTGGCGTCAGAGTCGCTTCTGTACTGCATCCTCTTGTTCCTCTGTGATGCATGGTTTCACACCCGTTCCACACAGTGTGTCTGTAAGGCCTGAGGTTTCGGAGAAGCTTCAGGTTCACAACAAAATGAGAGGAAGGTGCCAGATGGCTGTCTGTACCCTGTGCCTGTTGTGGTGCCACCATCCTCCATGGTGATGTGCTTGTCACACTTGAGACCAACACATCGTAAGCATAGCTTTCATGTGAAGGAACTGCTGAGTTTTGTAATGAACTGATAGTATAAATAGACTTTGGAGTTTTTTTTCAGCATAATTTACTCCTACTGCAGTGGGATACTGTTTCCACAGCATCAAGTTATTGTTTCACTCTTGTTAATGTGTTGTCTTGTAGGAGCTGCCCTGGAGCTAGTGAGCTAGTGCAGTGAGATGGCAGGGACATAGTCCTGGCTTTTGCTCCACTCTCTGTCCTAATGAATCCCTTTCTCTGCAGGCTCCAGCTAGGACCATGGTACAAGGCCAGCACAGGCCCACCTTCGCCTCTGCTAGGGAAAATCCTCTTCTCGCTTTTCCTGTTTGTGTGGATGAGGGTTACCTATCTGCATCCATAGATATCACATGTGGACCCAGTGCCTGCTGAGACCATAAGAGGACATCTGATCCCTTGGAACTGAAGTTCCAGCTGGTTGTAAACCAACATGTGGGTGCTGAGAATTCAACCCAGGTTCTCTGGAAGAACAGCCAGTGCTCTTAATTGCTGAACCATCTCTCTAGACCCTGCCTTTCCCATTTTTTATCAGCCTAGCTGCGGGCATGTACTTTCCATGATAAGAACCACTGCAGGATTCCTTCTCCCACCCAGGGCTCCTTTTCCCACAGAATCTCACCCCCAGCTCTTCCAATAGACTTGACCCACCCCACAGAACTCACCCTCCTCTACTCTCTGCTCTTCTCCTTTGGGAGTTTTAAGCTTTGAACTCGGAGTTAAAAGATGAGAAGGAAGAATAATATTGAATCATTCTCAAAAAGCAGCATCTGTCAAACAGAAGGGTAAGCTCCGACTCTAATCCAGAGGCTCAAATATGTGAGTGCCTTTCTCCTTTGTTTAAATAGATTGACTGTTCCTGCTTTGAGATTTCTCTTGAGCCAAAGCACAAGCAGGCCTGTGTTTATTAGGCTGATTCTGTGTACCGTAGAGTTTCTTCCTAGATTCATACAGCAGATTGTGTATGGATCTAGGTAGTGTGTGTGTGTGTGTGTGTGTGTGTGTGTGTGTCTGTGTGTATCCTGTTCTGGAGATTAAAGCCAAGGCCTTACACATGCTAAACAAGTGTTCTAATAATACATCTGCAGGCCTGTTTTGGTACATTAAAATTATTTGTGGGTGTGTGTTTTTGGGTGTGCGTGCGTGTGCATGCAAACATGCACACATTAGTGCCCAGTTTTCATGGCACACATGGAAGTGGGAGACATCTTGGGAAGTGGTTCTCTCCTGTCACCTATAGGATTTAGGGACGGAACTTAGGTTCAGTATGTGGAAGAAGGATTAAGTGAATACATTTTACTTACAAAGTAATATTTACTTGTCTACTAATTGAAGCTAAGTCTTGCAGATCTCCATCTTTCTTACCATGGCATCTTTTTTTCTTATTTCATTTTATAGCTCAGATGGACCAGCCAAAAGGGTGATTAATATCCCTTAAATTAGAGTTACTTTGTTTAGTAGTGACTTTGGTTTGGTTGTTTGTAACCTGTTTTAAAAGCCAGTCTTTTACTTTAGAAAGATACTGTCTTAGCATTTATAGCCATATCTGACGTGGTTGGCTACTTTTCCCATCAGTTAGGTTTATGCCTTTAGATGCCTTAATGGATTTAAAATCATTTGGTCAAATAGGGCTATTTGCTAGTAAGTCTGTCTTGCTTTAATTTTGTGTTTGACCTTACACTACCAAGGCCTTAAGGCTGTTTATGTAAATTATATTTTACAGATCCTGTACCGGAAGTAAAAGAAGAGAAGCTGCAGTCAGAGCCGCAGCCACCACCGCAGCCACAGCCACCACCGCAGCCGCGGTCACCACCGCAGCCGCAGCCGCAGCAACAGCAACCACCTAGACCACATTTTGGAGCTGTGGAAGAAACATTTAGAATTGTTAAGGACTCTCTCAGTGATGAGGTCGTTAAAGCCACCCAAGCAGTCTATCAGTTTGAACTCTCAGGTGAAAACTGTGTCTGACGATTGGGGCTTTTATGAAACAGTGGGAAGAAAACCAGCCTTTGGTACCTGGATTGTTAGCTATATCTAGAACTATTGAATATATATGCTCAAAAACAGCAAATAATTATCGATTTGTATTTTTTGAGTTAGACTTGTTTATATGGAAACATGTAGAACACATTTTCATAGCATATACTTCCAGTGTTAATGTAATACAGTAATTTTTCAGTTGTGGGCAGCTGACCACACTTTTATCTTTAAATTAGGTCAGTTTGAGTACAGTATGAAAGCCTTACACGAGCCAGACTGTGGTAGCACACGCCTTTAATCCTAGCACTTGGGAGGCAGAGGCAGGCGGATCTCTGAGTTTGAGGCCAGCCTGGTCTACGTCGTGAGTTTCAGGACAGCCAGGATTGTTATACAAGAAACCCTGTCTCAAAAACCAAATCAACAACTCTTAATGTTTTCCCATATAATAAAAGTAATACGGGTTGATGGTAGTTTTAAGAAGTATTTTGGTTCCGCTATACGCATACTTTGTCACTCTTTATGCTATTCTCTGTCACATCTTAATCTGCCCTTCTTTTTACTTCCTTTTGTTTCTGAACTCATAGACTATTCTTGATTCTTTTTTTCTCCCTGACATCCCAAACCTGCTGAACCTTTTGTGCTTATTTAATGACTTGTCTATCAAAGGCTTAGTTTTGGATGCATCAAACTATCTGGTTGCCCCACAGTTGCTTCAAGGCTGCCCAGTCTTTTTAGACAAAATTAAAGTAGCGACATCAGCTGGACTTACAGGGATCATCTATTCTCCCTCTTCAGATAGGTCTAAGCAGCACTTTAGACTTCTCTGTTGTCAGTTCCCTGCCTTCAGATATAAGTCAGCCACGGGCCCTCCTTTTCTCCCCAGTGGGACCCCTTATCTCTCCATCAGATCCCAAGCTTGATTAACTGTACTGGACTCTTCCTCAGATGGAGAGTTTGATCCAGTAGGTAGGGGGCATCTGAGTGTCTCCATTTCTGACAGATGGGTACCTCTAGCAGTGCAGGGGTCTAGGTCCCATCTCCTCCGGCCTCCTCAGGAGTCGTTCTGCCGACTCTTCTTCAGTGTGTACACCCTGCAGCGTCCCTTCCGGCAGTTATTTTAATGTTCGCAGCTCTCGTCTCTTATTACAACAGAATGTAACGGTAATCCCAAACCGTGCGCCCGTTCAGAGCCATACTTGCTTTTGCCTGCAGTGTACTCTATTGAACATGGTCCCTTCGTTTTTTTCTCTGCTCTACAGAATTTGTTTCCACCACAGTCCTAGATGATGGTTGTGCCACCAGCGGGTGTTTGTTGCCCCTCCCTGTAGCACCTCTGCAGTTTCTGAGGCTGTTGACCACTTCTTCTAGAAACACCTCCACAGCCTCTGTTTTCTTCAAACTGAATGCTATACCCAGTAAACACTGAGCCATTTCCTTCACTCCCGCCCTTCTTAAGCACTGTCGTAACTTCTGTGTGAATCCCACTGCTCCGGCTTTGGCACTTCTCTATTCACATGCCTAAACCACCTGTTTCCTCTCTGGAGAAGAGCCTGGCTTTTCTCTTTGTTACTGAATGTTTTCCAGAACGTAGTACGGCACTTGAGCCATAGTAAGTGCTAAGTTGGATGGTAGCCTGAGGATTTTAGCCAGGGCCAGTGTGTTAGCAGGTTGTTAACGCCGAGGGATGATTGCGCTTATATCCGCATTTATCTGTGCAGGTGAGGATGGTGGCACATGGTTTCTTGACCTGAAGAGTAAGGGTGGGAAAGTTGGACATGGCGAGCCCTCCGACCGGGCGGATGTGGTGATGAGCATGACCACCGATGACTTTGTCAAGATGTTTTCAGGTAAGTTTTCAACTCTCTTAGTTTACTTGTTTTAAATAGAGAATTTTGGATATTCTACTTTCTCTTTTCCTAGATAATGAAGGTTCAGAACTGTTCCCAGCAGTGGGTGCTACCTATGCTGAAAGTACATAGTCTTGGGAAGGCTGTTCTTAGGTTACCTCGTCTGCCGCTTCTACCCCATCTGACAAATGGAAGATTGATGGGAGATCTTTCCTTTTTCATCACTGAGAAGCTAATAATGTAATGTTGGGAACAAAGAGATAATTAAAAAGATTGCTAAGTAGGCTTTATTCTACCGGAACTAAGGTACTGTACTTTCAAAGCGTAGTCACTGGAGGTTCAGAACTCACAAATAGCTCACTTATTAAAGTCAAGTCCTGCTTCAGCCTCACCAGATGCCATAAAGGAACCAGGAGCCAGCTTTTTCGTGTGCTTTCGTGGAATTTCTGTTCCAGGGAGTCCTTTGCATGATTTTATGTTGTACTCAGTTAGCTCTAACAGTGCCTGTAGACAGAGACTGTGCTTTCATCTCCGGCCGCCCAGACCCGAATAACCACACAGAAACTGTACTAATTACACTATTTGGCCAATGGCTAAGGCATTTTCCTAGCTAGCTTTTATGTCTTAAATTAATCCATTTCCATTAATCTGTGTATTGCCACGAGGCTGTGGCTTACTGGTAAGGTTCTGGCCTCATTTTCCTTCGGCAGCTACCTAGCATCTCTGTGACTCCGTCTACTCTATCTCTGTTCAGATTTCCCACCCGGCTTTACTCTGCTAAGACATTGACTGAAACATCTTTATTCATCAACCAATAACAGAAACACATACACAGAAGGACATCCCACATCAAGTGCTAAAATAATTTTAAGAGTGATTTGTTCTGTTTTCTTCTCTAAGAACACTACTCAAACTGGCAAGTAAACACAAGTTCTAAAAAATTAGGAACAGTACTCTCAATTAAGATTTTATAATATTCAAATGTAAAATCTTTCATGTAATGAACTATAAAGTGTTAAACTCATATGTTCATTCTTTTTAATTCTTGTTTTTTTATTTTTTTTGACCAAATAACATCTTTATTAAGGTAGAGTACACGTATGGCATAATTCACCCGTTCAGAGTGGATCGCAGTAACCAGTAGGTGTATTTTATCCCTTGGAGTCTCCCCACCCCTGGGCACATGCTTCAGTAGTCACTTACACCAACAGTCTCAGGTTTTTTTTTTTTTTTATTGAGAAAAGGAAAAAAAAGTTTCAGCCTCCTCCCAGCCTCCCATTCCCCCCCCCCCACTCCTCTCCCCCTCCCTCTCCAGTCCAAAGAGCAGTCAGGGTTCCCTGCCCTGTGGAAAGTCCAAGGTCCGCCCCCCTCCGTCCATGTCTAGTAAGGTGAACATCCAAACTGGCTAGGCTCCCACAAAGCCAGAACATGAAGTAGGATCAAAACCCCGTGCCATTGTCCCTGGCCTCCCATCAGCCCCCATTGTTCGCCATGTTCAGAGAGTCCGGCTCCATCCCATGCTCTCTCAGTTACAGTCCAGCTGGCCTTGGTGAGCTCCCAATAGATCAGCCCCACTGTCTTAGTGGGTGGGTGCACCCCTCGTGGTCCTGACTTCTTTGCTCATCTTCTCCCTCCTTCCGCTCCTCATTGGGACCTTGGGAGCCTACTGAACAGTATCTGTACATTTTGAGCCCTCCAAAGTTCTGTTTTCCAGTTGTAATTAAGGGATACTAGTGGGGGCTACATCATATATGAACCCAATCACCAAAGTTTAACTATTATGTGTATGTGTGTTCAGGTACAAATGCCCAAACATATACATGCATGAAGAAGGCAAATGAGGACATCTGGGACCCTGCTCTATCATGCTCTTCCATATTCCCTTTTGACAGGGTCTCTCCTGAAACCTGGAGTTGGGCTGGCTGCCTGCTAGCAAACCCCAGCAGTCCTATCTCGGGTCCTCACAGCTCTGGAGTTACAGACGTGTGTGTAGACATGCTCAACTTTTACACAGGTGTTGGGATTCAAACTCAGGTCCTCCAGCTGTGCAGCAAGCACTCTACCCGCCAAACCATCTCCCTACTCTGTTTAACTTTTATAGTAGTATTAAGTGTTCATTGAACAAAAATTAGAAAAAAACACCAGAAAGAAGAAAACACAATTGTTTTTTACTACACCATTGAAAGATGATCAGTTAATTTGGGTTAACATCCTATATACATACACATATATACACACGCACACACACACACACACATACACACATATGTTTATAAAGCAAAATTATATGATTATTTTATTTGATCTTTTCAAATTGTACATGTATAACATCTTCATGAATTTTTGCTTCCAGTCATTTATAGTAGTTTGCTGTATCTAAAACTATTATTTTTGATTTACTGGAGATTATGTGGCAATGCTCAGTAAATGTTTGGTTTGTTTTGGTTTTGTTTCTGTTTTGTTTTTGTTTTTTTTTTGAGACAGGATTTCTTTGGGTAATCTCGACTGTTCTAGAACCTACTCTATAGACCAGGTTGGCCTCAAACTTACAGAGATCCGTCTGCCTCTGCCTCCAGAGTGCTGGGATTAAAGGTGTGCACCACCATCACAGCCCAGCTTTGTTTTTGTGTATTTGGGACAGGGTCTCTTCTGACTGTCCCAGAACTTGCTCTGTAAACTAGACAGACATTGAATTCACTGAGATCCTCTAGCATCTGCCTACTGAGTGCACCACTGTACCCCAGCCTAAATGTTTGGTAAATATGAATCATAGATTTTTTTAAAATTAAGGACAATTTAAATTAAAAGTGTATTGTGTTGGTCTTGGTAGTATATGATTATAATCCTAGCACTTTGGGAGGCTAAGGCAGGAAGATTGTGAGTTCAAGGCCCTATGTTATGAGTCTGAGGCCCATTCAGATCCTGTCTCAATAAACAAAGTGAAACAAAAAGGCATTGTCAACATCTAAACTGAAACAAGTTAACCGTACTTAATATTTATTATCATGTAATTGCTGTAGGTTAAGAAATACATGTAGCTTAAGATAAAGTATTTTTCACTGGGGCTGGAGAGATGGCTCAGTGGTTAAAAGGACTGGCTGCTCTCCTAGATGATCTGTATGTGGTTCCCAGCAACCACATTGTGGTTAACAATTTTCTGTACCTCCAGTCACAGTGGATTTGACCCCCTCTTCTGTATATAGTCTATAGTACCTCTGCAGACACTATATGTACATGTTGCAAGGACAAATATGCAGGCAAAACCCCATATACATAAAATAAAAATAAGTAAATTAAAAAAATAATAGTTTTTATGGGCTGGAGAGGTGACTCAGTGGTTAAGAGCACAGGTGCTCTTTCAGAGGACCTGGGTTCAATTCCCAGCACCCACATGGTAGCTCACGATTACCTATAAATTCCAGTTCCAGGGGATCTGACACCCTCACACAGACATGCACGCAGGCAATACACCAATGCAGTACAATAAAATTATTTATCTAAAAAAGGCTGTAAAATTATGTATCCAGGTGTTTAGCTACGTTTGAGCACCACTTGCATCCCTGGTACCGAGGGAGACCAGAAGAGGGCACCAAATCTCCTTCAACTGCAGTGGAGTTATAGACATTTGTGAGCCCCTTCATGTGGATGCTAGGAACCAAACTCAGGTTTTCTAGAAAAGCAGCAAGTGCTGTTAGCCACCGAGACATCTCTTCAGCTCCCTAACTTCTCATTTTTAAATTGTCTTTTGTCCATGAGTTTTAAGAATTATTTTTATATTTCCAGGTATATCACATGCAAATACTTTCTTTTTTCTTTTTCTTCTTTTTTTTTTTTTACTCATTTTCTTCTTCTTCTTTTTTTAAAAGATGTATTTATTTTTGTATTTGAGTCTGCATGTCTGCCTGAATGCCAGAGAGGGCATCAGATCTCATTACAGATGGTTGTGAGCTGCCATATGGTTGCTGGGAATTGAACTCAGGACCTCTGAAAGAGCAGCCAGTGCTCTTAACTACCTGAGTCATCTCCCCTACCCCTCCTTCACTTTCTTTTTTTTTTTTTTTAAAGAAAATTTTTTTAAAAAAGATTTATTTATTAATTATGTATACAGTTTTCCCTGCTGCAGGCCAGAAGAGGGCACCAGATCTTATTAGAGATGGTTGTGAGCCACCATATGGTTGCTGGGAATTGAACTCAGGACCTCTGGAAGAACGGTCAGCGCTCTTAACCTCTGAGCCATCTCTCTAGCCCCTTCACTTTCTTGATGATACGTTTTGAAGCAATTTTAAAAAGTTTTGGTAGAAGTATAAATTTATATTTTTCTTGTTGCTTATGCTTCTAGTGTCATATCTAAGTAAGGTTCTAACGATTTGCCCTTTGTATCGGTTATGTTCTGTCGTTGTGGTGAGATGCCGTGACCACACCTCCCATACACAGAGTTGATTTCACCTACTGCTCCAGAGGGAGCATCCATGGTGGTGGGGAGGATGGCAGCAGGTGCGCAGTGCTGAGCGATCACATCTCTACTGTACATAAGAGACAGAGAACACAAGCTGGGAACCAGGTGTTCAAATACGTGAGCCTCCAGGGACATCCTCATTTCATTCACAATACCCCCCCCCCTTTTTTTTCTTTTAAGACTTTAAATTTTTAGTTTTTATATTTAGGTCTGTGGTCCATTTTGAGTTAACTTTTTAACCTTTGTGTGAGCTGTGTGTATGGGGTGAATGGGTGTGTGTACCATGGCACTTCTGTGGAGGCCAGAGGACAACTTTATAGATCTGCTCTCTCCATTAACCTTCATGTGGGCTGTGGGTATTGAACCAGGCTGACCCATCTCTCCAGCGTCAATACTAATATTATCGCTAGTAATCTCCACCATCATGGATTATTTCAGGGTTTTTCTGCACCTGCATTTCCTAGTATCATCAATCCTCTTTGTGCATTTTTTGCTTTGTTTTGAACCTGCATGTGTCTGTCACAGGTGAGAGGTGCGCTAGGCCACTAATGTTCCAGACCCGTGCTGTGCCTTCTGCAGATATGAGCAGTGTCTAAACTGTCAGAACGTGAGGAGGTCGTAAGTGCTAGTCGGGCATGCCTGGCTGAGAATGGGAGCACAGCTGTATACCAGCTGTGTGCCTTTGAGCAAGCCAGATTCTTCCTTGACCTTAGTTCTGTTATTAATCCTGTGCTCCAGATTGAGCTGTCAGTGAGTTAATAGGAGAAAGGAGAGCAAAGGTCCTTTTCTACAGAGCTAATCTTATTTGTTAGTAGCTACAGCCTTTGTGGGGAGGAGTTGAGACAGGGTTTCTCTGTGTATGTAGCCCTGGCTGTCCTGGAACTAGCTCTGTAGACCAGGCAGGCTTTGAACTCACAGAGACCCACCTGCCTCTGATTGCCAAGTGCTTGGGATTAAAGGTGTGTGCCACCACCACTCAGCCTACATTTATGCTTACATTTCTCTGGCAGAAAAAATACCAGTATCTTTTTGTATTCATAGAGTATATTGTCGTTGGATTTTTCTTTGGGCCGCCAGCTCACAAATAATGACACAGAGACTTGTTATTAATTATGAAAGCTCAGCCTTAGCGTAGGCTTGTTCTCAACTAGCTCATAACTTATATTAACCCATTTATATTAATCTGCATTCTGCCTCGGGGTGTTATCTTTCTTCCATCCCGCACCTCCTGTTTCCTGTCCGTGTCTCCTGGTGAATCCCGCCTTCCCAGAGTTCTCTCTCTGCCTGGAAGTTCCATCTATATTCTCCGGCCTAGCTATTGGCCATTCTGCTTTTTATTTCACCAATCACAGCAACTCATCTTCACACAGGGTACAAATATCCTGTAATATTATACTTAAAAAAATCATTTCTTAAATAGTGTGTGTGTCTGGATATGGATATACCCAGCCCCAGAGACCAGAAGCATCAGATCCTTTGGAACTGGAGTGATGGGCATTGTTCTGGGAAACAAGCTCAGCTCTTCTCAGAGCACTGTTTAGGTTCGTCACACTGAGCCGTTTCTACAGCCCTACATACACTGTACTAAACATTTTAATGTACGAGTGTTTGCATGTTCATTTGAGTTCACGTGTTTGGGTACCACTGTGAATGCATGGAGATTAGAGAACAACCTTGGGTGTCATTCCCGTCTTCCACCGTTAGGCAGGCTGTCTCTGTTCAGTGATGTATATGCCATGCTAGCTGTCCGCAAGCATCTGTAGATTCTATTTCTGTCTCCCATCTCAAGGTAGGAACACTAGGATTATAGATGTGCACTACTTTGCCAAACTTTACAGAGGTTCTGAGGATTTACACTAAGGTCTTCATGCTTGCGCAGCAAGTACTTTACCCTCTGAGCCATCTGCGCAGTTCCTACACTATATACTTACCGGTCTTAGTTGTTTTTCATTTTGACACAGTGTTTAGCTCAGGCTGGCTTTGAACTTAGGACCCTCCTGACTCAGTTCCCAAGTGCTGGTGTTAAGATGTGTGTTGCTATGCCCAGCTTAGTAATCATTTCTTAGATTTTTTGCACCATTTGATTTTTTGAATTTAAACTTGATATAAAGAGTTTAATGAGCTGTAACAGATTGGAACATTAAATAACATAGTATTTACTACCAGAATTAAATAACATAGTATTTACCTATCAGAATTAAATAACATAGTATTTACTACCAGAACTCATCTGGGGGCTGCATTTCTGTAAGGTGCTGTAACCAGCATGTGTATGAATGTATGTAACCAGCATGTGTATGAATGTATGTAACCAGCATACGTATGAATGTATGTAACCAGCATACGTATGAATGTATGTAACCAGCATACGTATGAATGTATGTAACCAGCATACGTATGAATGTATGTAACCAGCATACGTATGAATGTATGTAACCAGCATACGTATGAATGTATGTAACCAGCATATGTATGAATGTAGCTTGTTGCCATTACTTTCTGCAGACTGTTTCTTACGTTATCTTTTACATGACAGGATATTGTTAACATCCAAGTCAGGAGCTGAGATTCCCAGGGTAGTAGTATGCAGTGCTGTAACAGGAATTTCTGTGCTCTGGGGTCCCTCTTTGAATGCATGTTCTTCTTTTTTTTTTTTTTTTTTTTAGAAGGAGACTTTTTATTAGCATCGTTCTTGAAGTGATACGACACTCAGGGCACTAATGCTGCGTTCTCTGTCTCATTTCACATTTTAGGGAAGCTGAAGCCGACCATGGCATTCATGTCAGGAAAACTGAAGATTAAAGGGAACATGGCCCTAGCAATCAAACTGGAGAAGCTAATGACCCAGATGAATGCCAGACTATGAGGGACAAGAAGCAAAAATGACTCGTAGAAGTAAAAAGCTCAACAGTTAAAAATCTGTTGTCTCCTCCACTGTCTTATAAGGACACATATGTTTGTTCTGGAAAAATTAGAATTTCTGTATCTATAAGACTTGAAATTGTAATTAAAACAACTAACTAATCATAATCAATCGTGTATAAGTCTCACTAAGTGGCCTCCTAATATATTGTGTTTTTTTTCTTTTTTCAGTTTTTTCCTGTAAGCCTTTATTTCATTCATGCTTTTTTTTTTTTTTTTCGAGACAGGGTTTCTCTGTAGCATTGAGCCTGTCCTGGAACTAGCTCTGTAGACCAGGCTGGCCTCGAACTCCCAGAGATCCGCCTGCCTCTGCCTCCCGAGTGCTGGGATTAAAGGCGTGCGCCACCACCGCCCGGCTCATTCATGCTTTCTTGCATGAAAAGTAATATTATGTATCGAGCACTAGAATTAGCTATTTACAAAACTTCTCATGTAAAATGAAGTTACCTTATCTTCACAAAGAGCTGGGTGAAGAACTGAATCTCTCTCTTATCCACTGCCCCTGCCTTCTTAAGGACTTTGTCAGTGTATAATACTTGCAGGCAAAATTTTGTTTAACTTATAACAAGCATTTTATACTATTGATACTATTCTAGATATCTTTAAAATTTTAGCTTTCCCCTCTTTTTTCCAGATAAGGTTACCCAGCTGGCTTTGAACTGAGGCAGGTCTCCTGCCTCAGCTTCCTTAGTGCTATGATGACACACAGGAGCCACCATGCCAAGCTAAATCCAGTTTTCAAGTGCTAATTTATAGAATTAATTTTGCGAGTATGCCTTATGCCAGGTAGTAGTTCTCTCTGCTCACTACCTTAGCAGCTTTTTAAAAACAGATTCTTTAAATCATGTTACCTTCAAATAAAGATGAATTTATCTCTTTTTCATTCTCTGTGCCTTTTTTTCTTGTCATATTATACTGTTAGGCCAATATAGTGGTAATAATAATGTTAAGAATAGATACCCTAGCCTGTATAACACAGTAGACCAGTCTCAAAAATACAACAGTATAGGCGGGCGGGGTGACACATAGCTTTAATTCCAGCACTCCGGAGGCAGAGTGGATCTCTGTGAGTTTGAGGCCAACCTGGTCTACAAGAACTAGCGCTAGTTCCAGGACAACTGGGACTATAACACAGAGAAACCCTGTCTCAAAACCCCAAAGACTAATACACACACACACACACACACGAAGGATTTACTTACAGATTTATCTCTATATATAAACAGTATAAAACAAAACCCATTTTATCTAATATGTAAATCACTATATAGTCCATTCAGTATATATATAATATACTGTCATATAATACACTGTTCTGTCCCCACCCAGAGTTAAGCAACCATCACCACAATGAATTAGAACCTTAAAAGAAGCCGGGCAGTAGTGACATAACACCTCTAATCCCATCACTCAGGAGTCAGAGGCAGGTGAGTTTCTGTGAGTTCAAGGCCAGCATGGTCTACAGCCAAGGCTGTTACACAGAGAAACCCTGTCTCCAAACAAAACAAAACATTCCCTCCCCTTCTCCCTCCATCCCTTCTTTGCTTTGTGGTGTCAGAAATCAGTTCTTCCTTCCACCATGTGGGACCCCGGAGTTGAACTCCGGCCATCAAGACTGGAGACAAGAGCCTTTGTGTACCTTGCTGTCTTACAGCCCCAATCAAAATGTTTATCACCTCCCCAAAGCATACAAAGGCGAGCTAAACCTGCAGGGTGGGCTGTCTGTGTGCCCTGCCAGGGGCTTGGCTCTAGAAAACATCTTTGGTGGTTGTAATTTCATAGAAGCTCTTCATTTTTTAAGTGTCTGTCTCTAAGTCATAGAAGACTGAGCTTTTGTTGATTTGGGTGGGGGAAGTTTAAGTCTTTTGGAGAAAATGGTTGGTAGTATAGCTGACTTCCTGAGTCTGAAGGTGCTTTGACCAAATTTGGTGTTAAAAAGGAGAAATCTGTGAACGCAGATAGAGTCAGTGTAGTGACAATCTTTTTCTTTTCTTGTGGTGCTGAGGTTCAAACCCAGGGCCTCACGCACCTTCGGCAAGTGCTCTACCACTGAGTTATAGCCTGAGCTCAGATGTGGCAAACTTCTTTACCTTCACATTTGCTCAGACCCTTACAAGTCTAGCTCCAGGTGGTTCTGGTTTGGAGGTGGGTGGGACTGGCCCACAATAAGGATGTCATGAAGATGGTGGCTTCCCAGGGAATGGGTTGGGTGTCCTCTGAGGTCCTTGACACTTTTGGGATAGCACTCTAGCAAAGACGCTGTGTCCAAATTATTTCTCCTGCAGACAAGGGCATACATAGAGCACCTGCTAGTTCTTGAGTCACTGGCTGGGTACATGTGTCCCTGCAGGGGATATTTTCTTAGATGGATGGATTTTAGGTTTTTGGGCCTTGAACCTTGTGTGACTTTCCTTTTCCTATGTCTCTTTAGCTCCCTGCTGCCAAAGGCTTTGTAGTCGGTAGCTTTTACTCTGGCTTAATGCCTACTGAGTTTTTCTTCCAACAAAGGTCGTAGACAGCAACTGTGGCTATCCAAAGGGGTTGGAAGTCTGCTTGCATCCCGCAGGCTAGTCAGATCTGTGCCAAGGTCCTGTGTTGGTGGACCACTCTTTCCTGTGAAGACAGAAGATGATAGTTGTCGGAGGAGCAGGAGTGTGGCTGGAGAGGGCCAGAGGGAGGTGAAATGCTTGAGGAGCTGTTTTCCTGGGGAGCGGAGAGTCCTTTGCTGCAGCTCTCTCCAGAGTGAGTCTTAACAAGTCCTAGTGGCTTGTGAGTAGCAATCAGCTTTCCCATCAGTTCACTGCGTACTTCCCTGGTCCCTTCCTTGGGTGCTGGCCCCTTCTCCTCCTTTCAGCCACCCCATTCTTCACAGCTCAGCTAGACAAAGACGATGATGTGGACCAGACACACCCGTGAAAGGCAGAACTGGGAAGACTCCAACGGGAGAGGTGAGGAATCCCTTTTGCTCACAAGAAAATGCCAAGCTTCTTCTCAGCAGGTGAGGAAGCGGCACAACATCTGTGGGAGGGGCCTGCAGAAGAGGCCCTGTGCCTGGTGGACAGTGTGCCTGTGCAGGCCTGGCATGGGAGGGGGACTTGAGAGTGGAGGCCAGTGCTTTGCCATCTTGTCACGGCAGATCTCAGAGTACACTGAAGAAGTTTTTCTCCCCGATGACTGCTTTCTTCTTCTCAAACTCTCCCTGGAATGGATGCGACTTAGGAGACTAGAGGTGTGTCAGAGAGGAAGCACGTGGAGGTGATCCCGTGGGTCCTGAGACAGGTGCTGACAAACCAGCAGGAATTATCAGCAGGTACAGACGCAAGGTAAAGATTTTGGCTGGTCTTTGTTGTTGGTCAAACAATAAACAACATAAAAGAAAACAGCATACAACCGTTTTATTGTTATCTGTATCAAAAAGCTATCTGGACTCCTGCTAACCCAAATACAATGACCTGAGCTCAGAAAGAAATTTTGAGCCCTGACCCTAAGTGCAGCCACAGCGGCAGTGGGTGGTCATCGGCTGCTGCCAGCAAATCTGTCCGAACCGTTTGTTCCAGCTCTCTGCTTGCAATAAAACTTGTGATCACACCAGAAAACACAGACAGAACTTTTCAATACAACAAACACACACCATTTTCTCAAGAAACAGGCCAAACTTTTCAATAGGACAGTATTTTCCAATCAGAATTGTTGGAGACAGCTTTGACAAGGATACCATTGATGAGGGTCGGGGCATGGGGATTAGAAAAATAAGTAAAGAGAACGAAGATGTGAGTGAAAATAATAGAAACAAACGATAGTACTGGGAGGAAGTTTCAGTGAATATGGAAAATCACTCCCATTTATTTTCCATTTGCTTAAATACCCTGACCCTAAAAGGTAGGAGTAAGGTAAACAAACAAACAAACCTGCATCCACGTGATACAAGGAATGAGCTGACCATTCATTCCTAGTTAAATATTCTGTTGCCAGAACAAGACAAGGAACGCTCACCCTAGACAAAAATATTCTGTAGGCAAACCATTCCCTGGGTAGAATCCAGTGTTATCTCCCTAAGGGAGTAGGAACTTAGTTGGGTCCTTAGACTTTTGTTTGAGGCAGATACAGATCTACTTCTCTATACCTGAAATACAAGGTCTAGATATTAGCCACACCTGTTGACAATAACCTTGAGAGAGTAGAACTCTCCAATTTAAATCAAGGTGGGACCTTTAAGGTAGAAACAGACAATAACTTCAAAGGAACAAAAGTAAGTTCCAAATCTCTGACCTTTAGTCAGGATGGACAGGATCTACCTGTATGGGGCATCTTAATGTCCAAAAACACCAAGTAGCCATACCTTAGGTCACGGTGTGTAGACCTAGTTGTTTTCAACGGTGAGCAAGCTGGAACTCTCTGACCTTCAGACAAGGTGGAAATAGGCTCACATTTTTGGGCCTCCACACAGAATTAACCTAATATGGTCAATTAACTTTAAATACTGACCCCTTTAAATGATATTTATAACCTGTGGTATCTGAATGACCAAAGTATCCCTGGTGGAGCTAAAATAGGCCTCGGCTACACATCACAACATGGAGCCAAAGTGTGGTCAGGTTTGGACAGAAGCTGAGGCAGGCAACCCCCAGGGGACACTGCAGGAGCCCCATCCACCATCATGGAAAGGGGGTAGCACACTGGTGTGGGAGGCCCTTTTGTATATGTGTTGCTTTTATTGGTTAATGAATAAAGAAGCTGCTTTGGCCTGTGATAGGGCAGAATAGAGCTAGGCAGGAAAACTAAACTGGATGCTGGGAGAAAGTAGGTAGAGTCAGATGAGAAGCCATGTAGTTGCTAGAGAAGAAAGAGCTTTTATTCTCACAATCATAATTTCTATCTATGTCTAATATATGAAAACTATTTATTGACTTTTTATGCTTCTGTGTATGTGTTACATGTGTGCATGAGTGCGGAAGCCCTCAGTCAAGATCAAATGTCTTTATCGGTCTCCATCTTATGATTTGAGGAAGTGTCCCTCAGTGAACCTAAAACATGCCAATCCAGCTAGACTGCCTGACCACTGAGCTCCGAGGATCCAAATGCCTCCTCCAGAAGCCCGCAGAATTGCACCACCAAACTTAGCTTCGATGTGAAGACTGGGGATCTGAATTTGGGTCTCCATCTCTTCAGTCCCCTACACTGGCCTGAGTAAACAAAACATCCATTGTGTAACAATTTCTCAAAGATAAAACTTTCCACTGTAGGAAGAAATTCCTTAAGTATGGTATTTGAAAGCGTAGCGAAACGTTTCGTATTTCAGGGAAGCTCTTAAGCTCAGGAAATTAAAAAAAAATAATAGCTTCTCTGCGAATGTATTCAGCAAAACTTGATCAGATGATTACCGCTCCCTTAGTTTGGCTCCACAATGAGAAACACACGATTATATACTCAGATGCTTAAGAAACCCAAAACTCTTCAGTTTGGTTGAAAGCTAATCTTTAAGGACAGACAGAAGATTTTAGAATTCTTTACTGCGAATCTAACTTTTGTAATAGGCGGCTGAAGAAACTTTTATTACTGAAATAGTGTATGTTCTTTTTAAAATAGCCACAAGAGGGCAGTCTTTCCTAAGAAATAGGTTAAAAATGATCCTAAACCTGTGAGACAGCATTTCTTTTTACAATATATTACCCATTATAAAGTAAATTTAAATACACCACACATTAAATCCAGTGAAGGTATCTAATCTCTGAAAAGTCAACAGAAGATAGCAGAAGATCATAATGATCCTATGCCTACAATTTTAAGTTCAATGCATAAATTCATTTAATCCCTAAAAGAGCTTGCAGACGGATCTTTACCATCTCTGTTTGTTGTGGAATAATCTTTTTGTTCACCGCGAAG